TATTGTTAATATTTAACTGGTACAATTAATTTAGTCATCCACATTACCAAAAAGTTTATCTGTAAATTTGAGATTACACTGGAAACAACCTAAAACATACTTCCCTGATTTTGGACTGACAAGCTGAATATTGTATTGCATACTGATCTGGGAGTAGAGAAATAGAAGTAAAAGGAGTTGTTTTCTTGCACAAAACAACAATGAATATAGTAGCACTATTTTATTTACAGCATACATGCTGATTTAATCAATTTATTGGTAGCAACTTGGAGAAAATTGAACTAAGTTGAAATAGTATAGCATTTCATCACATGCTGGAAAAAAAGAATGCATACAGATATGTTGCAATTTATTGAAATTTACTGCACTTTGAAATGTATTGTACACTGCAGGAAAGATAATTTATCTTTATATCTTATGTTATTATCATATTTGTCAAATAGAGTTTTAGTTTGCCATATGTCTAAAAAATATAGGCTCATTTCAGGAAAGCATTCATCACTATGGGTATTTGTTTGTCACATTTATTTTAAAGTCTTAACCATCGCCACACCTTGATTTCCTTGGAGTACTGGAAATAAATGAGCATCTTTTTCACTGTTTAAAAGAGCAAACTCCTCAGTAAACGGGAAAAATCTGCAAAGCTGATTGTAGCAGTAGTTGATGTGGGCCGTGAAGTAAAGTAAAACGGATGCAGAGCCTTTTAGTCACAATGTGCTAGTCAACACTTGGAATGAGTCTGTGCTTGGAATCAGAAACCTTCTCAGGTTAAGGAGCTGTGACAAAAGTGTTGCCAATAATTAATAGATGGCCTTTTGACTTCCTGCTATGACTGTGTTAGCAAGTTTCACATTGGGCAGCAAGCACTGTTTGTCTGTAGCCTCTGTCTGATGCTGCTGGCAGGTTTCTAAAAAGATAAAAGAAGAAAAAAAAACCCATCAACCGCTGCATAGCCTGGAAGTAATAATACACAGACAGTGTTGTGTCACGCTGACATCATAATGTTACGTCCTCTAATAGGTGAGATATGAACGGTATGTATTCCATACATGAAAAGGCAGTGGTGTTTTTGAATTTTGTAGTAACCAAGCACATAGTTCAGCACATAACAGGTTACCTTAATTGGATGAAGTAGTAGGTACAAGTATAAAATACTGCTATCCATTGGAGGTTCATAGTAGCAGTTTGTAATGTCAGTAGAGGTTAGTAGATAAGATACAGACTGTGTGGAAAATTAATGTGTATTAGATGCACAATCTGCTGACTTCAGTTTTCAGTGGACTGGCAGCCCTTCAGTTCACAGATGTTCGTCTCCCTGTCTGTGGAGCGGGCGAAAGAGGAACCACGTTATCTGTCTATATCTGGATCCACATGTATATGTAGTCAAGACATGTTCCGCTTATTAATATCTGCTGGCAACATGCACACTGAATGTTGCAAGTGTTACAACAAGGCCTATGTAATCTTTTCACTTTATGAGAGATGATTATTTTTTTCTAACAGGCAGATCGGTGAAACTAATACTGGATATCTGTAAGAAACCTCGAATACCATGAAGGCTTTTAAAATATTGTTGAGGCTAGAAAGGAGCAATAAGAATTATCTGTGGATATTTTTGACATATAATTTTTAAACTTAAACTCTGTGACAAATATAAATGATTCTTCTGTTGTTCCAATGACAAGAGAGAGAAATGAGGAGTGTTCATTAAAAAAACTGACTATAGTCAGTCAGAAATTTACAAGGGAAACTTTCTGCCAATAAAAAAAAGTTGCTTTCCAGAATACGATTTTTAAATCAAAAACCTTATGTATTTGCTTTTCCTATTGCCATGTCTGTATACATATTTCTGATTGTTACAAAAAGTTACATTATGTGTCATCATTTTCTTTATGATTTTTGTATAGCAAAACAAACTTCTCAATCACCAAATGAAATATTGAAATAATATTGAAATATTTAAAAACATTTTAGTTCGTTTTTTAAACGATCCTTTCCAAATCAGTAATCATGCAAATGTTGGTAAACGTGTATAGATTCGGAATTCTTTGGGAAGAGGAAGCTTCAGAATTTTGCCTGAATTTCACTTCTTATGAACAAATGCAGTACTATTCATGCAATATCATTCAAGTGTAACAATGACAACCTTAAAGAGCAAATAACTCACTTGGATAATAAATACAAAAAACAAGCAGCTCCTTTCTTTTTCATTTACTGGCCACAAGGAGAGAAACTTCAGATTTGTTGGGCTGGATAATATAAGTGGATAACTATATATATCCAACTATAAGTGGATAATTTTCGGCAGGGGTTAAGAAACCTTGCATTTGCAAGAAAAAGTACTGTTCGAGATTATGTTATCTTATTACATTCTTTAATGAACAAAATGTTTAAAAAGGAAGAGAAGATGAGAAAAAAATTGTACTTTTTTTCATTTTGCGTTCAATTGCATATTTTCACATAACTATGTTTTTTGCAAAAGCTATAACCTTTGAAATGATATTAGTGCAAACACAGAGCATTGTATCATACAGGAGCAGCAGCAAGCAATGATCCATTGGACAAAAATGCCAGTTATTTATATGAAGCCCAGAGGAACCCAAGAACCGTGTAAAATAGCCTAACATTGCAGAAGATCAACTCAGCTTCTGCAGAAGCCACTTCCGGAGCTTAATTAGAAGTGGTTATTTTTGAGAGGAATCTTGTGATTTGAATTAACGAACATAATAAAATATTCAGACTAAGATTAAAGATAGATTCTCCTTTATCCTTTGGGACAGGATTTAAATGAAAATGGAATACCTACATGGATTTATTTTTAATTTATATTCAGCATTATGTTAATAAAATGTTGTAGTCAAAACAGAATCTCTGGTGTACCAATCTTTTCATATTGCCATAATGTCATTTATGGTTTTATGTTATATTTACAACACAAATACCTAGCATGTTTGTTTGCTGTAACATTTCCCAGCCCCACTTCATCACAGTACATACTCAATATTAGTTTTAGCAAAAAGTCTGTGATTACTACAGCCACATGTGGCCAGTATGGACCGCAACAAATATTTTCTCTTTTCAGTTTTTTTTTGACGTTATGACATTTAAAAAAAAAAATCTTATCAGCAAAACACTCCAGTTATTATTGTTATATAACCTATGAGAAATAAAAATAGTTCAGTGACAGATTATTTTTTCATATCCAAACAAATTAGAGATTTAATTTAGTAATGTCAAAAACTGTAGTTCAGCATAGCAGGGAAAATCTAAGAAAGTATATTTGCCATTGGACATGTCAATCAATCTTACTAGTTTTTGTTACATTTCGCTCTTCTTCGTTTTGCTGAAGGATATACATGCCAGAATGTTTGTGTGTGTACCTTGCAGCCTTCATATTTGTGACACAAACAGTGAAAACCTGTCTTACATGTCTGAACACTGGTAACTCTTAGCAATAGTGCACTGTGACATTGGGAGTTTTGGGGGTTTTGCAGAGATTAATTTTATGCAAAGCAGAGTTCAAGCTGTGAATGAAGTAAACCCATGTTGCACCTTTTAGTTCAATGTGACTGCTGAGCTAACACAAGGTGACTTCAGCAAGAAGATAAAAGCCGCCGTACTCAGCCACCATATTTCTGTAAATACTTTATTTTCCCCCCTTATTTACTTACAGTTGATCTGCTTACTCTTTACCTCTGCCATGATTCCTAATCACAGGGATTGTCTGGTACTTGGCACTTCCAATAGTGAGTTTTCCAGATACCTGATCTTGACCTTACCCAGCCAAACAGTTTCTAGCTCTTCCTTCCTAGTATTGCATGACTGTGAGCTTTAGTTGTTTCTTTTTTTTTTTGAGGGAATAAGAATAGGAGGAAGAAAGGGGAACAGAATCAGTTGGACTACTAACTATTTTTGTGTTGATTCATATATCTAAATTCCATCCAGGTCTTTCTAGTTTTGTTAATATACCTGGTCCTTCTAGGTCACCTAAATGATCAGAAATACTAAGTTAAAAAAATAAGATGAAATTTACAGTATTGATATCTGGACCCTAAGGTATTCATTTTCTGCATTGCTCAGCTGATTCAAACTCCAACTGATGGTTGTATTATAAAAAGTTATGTCACATTAACTATATCATATTTCAACAGGCAAACTCAAGACACTGTGTAATAGCTTCAGCTGCTCACTGGTGTAGTGATGATATCCTCTGTCTTATTGTGGCTGCTTCAATGCTCAGAAGAAAAATTACTTTAAAGCTTTCTAAAACCATGTCTTTTATAGCAGACAGGTAAAGGGAAGTGCAAATCAAAGGGCTGCTGTCATTTCTGGCTGAAGGCCAAAGATCTCGGAACAATTCAGCAGAGAATTTGAGTTGCTCGGTCTATCATGTATAGTGGAATAAGACTAATAGTCAAGAGTTTTTTTTAACTGATCAGAAATTTACACTATGTCAGGCTCAAAGTGTTAGAGATGCATCTAATATATTAAGAGTTAAAATACCAGATTTGGGTACTTCTGGCAAAGTCTTTGTCTGATGTTGCTGTAATTTCGGGAGCACCTAACAGCTGTAATAGAGATCAGTGAGTTATTGTAAGCAAATCACTTATCCTCTAGCTTTGCAGTAGAAGAATATTTCGTGAAGTTACTGTCAGTGTTAGAGACAGTAATACCCTCTAGCAAATAAAAAAATTAAGTAAAAAATGTGTGCATCTCACTCTCCTTGTCCCTGTAATATATAAACCTGAGGACTCTCATATCTCGTAAGGGTAAATTTCCCATCTAATCTACAATAAATTTTTAACAATTAATAGCAGGCGCGCTAATATCTATTTTGAAAACCTGATAGCACGAGTTACCATTTTCAGGTAAAACTTAGATGCATGTAGCTTTTACCAGTGTTTATTTCCTGTTGTTTCTAAATGGCTTACCATTACACAATGCAAAGTCAAAAATGTCTTCCATGTTTATTAAAGTTGATCTGTCTGCATTTCCTTCAGAAGTTAAAGAATGGTTTTGCTCTATGTGAAGAAAATTACTGCCTCTGTTGGTTGCAGTTGGAGGGGTCCTGGCCGAGGAAAGGAAGACTAGAAATTTTGAGAGGTACGTGCCAAAAGAAGGGATGAGGGGGGAAAGGGCTGACTTACTGAACTCACACTACACAAGTAGAGGGATAGTCTACACTAGATTGCACTCACCAGGAGGTTGCTGCTGTCTTTGCCTCCTTCTTCCATAGTAAATCTGTGCCTAACGTGTGTGCTATCTGCTTGGCACATCAGCATGCAGAGGAATGAACTGTCTGATAAACTTCGAGGATTTTCCTGCTCTCAGCTCGTGGCAAGAATTGTATAATTCCCTGTCCATTGCATTATAGCATCCTCCATTGCTTGCCCAGGCAAGGGAAAGAAAATTCCTTTTACTTGTGCTTTTGCACATATCTGTCCACTGTTCTGTCTGATTTGTATCACATCAGGACAAATTTAGACTCTAAATTACTGTAAAATTTAGTATCAAGTTTTTGGATTTTTTTTTATTTTTAATGTATTACAAAGTGACTTAAATAAAGCTTGATTATACTGATGTCAGACATACGTACACTATCCAACCTCCTCGTTTTCAGAATATCTTGAATACTGATAAAAATAACATTCTAGCAAAAGTTTAGTAGATTATAAATCCTGTGTGGCTTCTTCTGTATTTGAAACCTAAACGTTACAAGCAATTGCCTTTTAGCGTTCATATTCATTCTGTGTTTATTTATAATCTGCTGAGAACAAATAAACAAAAAAAATCTCAGTGTGATTTGCCTTATCTTAAATAATGGACAAAAGAGCCAACATGTTAAACTATATATTAGCACGTCAGTCAAAGTGTTTTTGTACTGCCTCAAAATAGCAGATCTACTTTGAAAAGACTGTGATTTACTACACCAGTAAAGAAGACATCTGGGAGAGAAGAGCTAAGCCTATTCAAAGCTCAGAGAGTTTACAATTTATAAATTTAAATTATCTGCTTTCAGCATTAAAATGATGTTTCAGAATGACAAAAGGAAGTGATCACTGGTGTACATCAGGCTGACTTAACCACAGGCTTCACTGGCAGCGTGCAAAAGAGGTTTTGTAAATGTAACGTTAAGAATAAATGGCGGTTATTCTCCATTCATCTGTTTGCTGCGAGCAAGACAGGTAAATAAATCCAGGTAAATATAAATCATAGTTCTCAGCTGCAGTTGCATATACATTTATGTCTAATACTAATAAGTACATTTCTGAGAAAATTAAGGAACCGCCGTAAAGGCTATTGATTTCAGATTTTAGATAAAGCTCTAAGAACCTTGTTTTTTGTCACATGCAGAATAAGCAAAAGCAACAGAAGGATCACCAGACGCCGAAAGCCGATGTGGTTGAAACTGAACCTGCAGAAGCCGGAGCAGAAATGCAGATCACAACTGTCTAGTGTTCATGAAGTCATCAGATTCTGGTATGAAATCAAGTCTCATTCAGTTAGCTTTGTAGATAATTTGCTTACTGAATCCAACTGCTTACACAACAGTGCTAGGAAGCTTCAAACATGACCTCCTCTGCGGGAGGAGAAAAAGTGCCACACAGAAATTGCTAGTTCTGCACTCACTGAAATCTACTAGTGGCTTCAATAAAGGCAGGATTTTTCTCATGAACAGGCATTTCCAATAGTGACAAATGATGTAAAGGATTTGTTATGTGAGCAAATGGACACTTAGTGTACATAATTGTATTTCCTTAGTATCATTTATCTAAGTTCAAGATGTGTAATACATTTAGTGTTTTATAAATAGTTATTTTGAGGTTGTGCCAGAAATTAGAACAAAAATTGAAATGACCATGGGATTATTTTTTAATATAGGGTGCGCATATAAATGGAAGAACAAAATCAAGATATAATTCAAACTTATAAATAGCAGTTTCGCACTGAAATGTGCTGATGTGAACAAAAATCAGTAAATGATTAATCATACAGAAAAATACATTGAACACATGCAATAAAGTAATTAAATGCAAACTAGTTCAGAGAAGAAGTTTGTTTACTCTATCTGGAGACAGATTTAAGTTCTATTGATGATCAGAAAATCCTACTAATAGTAATACAGAGCATTAAGATTCCTATAAAATATTTTATCAAATGATAGGATTTGAAATACAGGAAACTGCGTGTACTTTTCCTTCCTTCTATGTGCTTCAGCAGTTTTTAGACAGACTGCCTTCTAGAAAGCTGTAGCTTCTGAGTGGCACTGACCTTGTAGGATTTGTCTCTACTCTAGTTCTCCTGTATTTGCTGTTGAAACTCTTCCGGGTTATTTGGAGAATTTAAACCTCTTGCAACAAACAAATTAACTTGATAGATTATCAAAATTCACCAGAATAACAAATAACGTATTTACGCCCTTATTTTCCATCTTTGAAGACTTTCGCTGTATGGTTTATGGGAAGTACTACCTTTAACTGAGTAAGAAGAAATCTAGGGTTAAACCAGTGGTTGCATGTTAAGTAGGGCACATCCAGTAAGACGGCTTGTTATTGGACTAGCAGAGAAAATACCCTAAGGTCAATGAAGTGTTTAGAATATAACTTTTGAAAAGGCAGGTGGGTGTAGCCTTTCCTCTTAGACTTGGGTTTGTTTTAGCTCACTATTGTAATTTGTTGCAACCTGGGGGTGCTCTGATCACTTCAGCTGTGTGTGCAATGCATTTGGATGACACATCTCTTTTTTCCTGTTTGATGCATTCAGTACGTCAGGACACCTGTGAGAAGTGGTCAATCATTTTGTGTGTCTCTACCAACATGCAGAAAGGTTTCCAGACTAGTTTAGCTAACTTTTTTGTTGCTCTTTATATTTTCAATTTTCAATAACATTTATTGCATACTGTAGGTAGAGCTTGGCCATTAGAATTGTCAAAAAGCATATATTTTTAAAGCTGATTTTAATTAAAATTATGTTCATCTTTAATATATATATTTATGCAAATTGGTGGCTAAAATAGAGACAGCCCTGAACTGAAATGTTGATTCTAAATGCTCTTAAGCTTTTCACAAGGTTAAAGTATTGATTCAAATTTTATGTTTCTAATTTAAAATGAGATTCAAATTAAAAGGTCATTATCTCTGTAGTAATTACTGTGCACCCCACACTTCTACGTATGATTCACTCCTGAAGTCTCCTCAACGTAAAGATGTGCTGTCATACTGAAGTTAGTATTCATGAAAGTAGTGGTTCAGAAGCAATAAAAAAACTTTATTAGCCAAACTTACCACTCCAGACACTTCTTGCCAACATTGCCCAAGCACTGATCTAATTCTCAGCCTAACATTCACCATAAAGGACACAGTAGTTTGTGCCAGCTAGGCACCGCTCTAAGTTGGAACGCTCAGGTACTACAAAGCATTAAATAGGGGATGAATGAGGGCCATGGCCATCTCTCTAATCTCCTGTTTGAGCAGAACTTCCTGAACTTCTTTGTTTCAAAGAATGATGGATACAATTTTTGTAATTTTGTTTATCTGTGTACTCTGTATACCCAGACAATCAGTGTACCTTTAAGATATCTTTTCTTTCTCAGGAAAATATGAAAACTTTGTGAAATGAAACAAGTTCTTTTTTTTTCTTCCTTGTTATATTTTATACCTAAGACCTCTTTTCTTTTTGCTTATTATGCCTTTCTTGCTTTTTACATGGTATTTCCTAAGTTCAGACCTAAGCCGAAACCCACTGATTAACAGGGGTGTTTTTGCTGGTTTCAGAGAAACTCAAGTTTTTTAACTCCTTCAGACAGTACCACTTACAGAAGGTGTTCTGGGCTCTTTATGATATTACATTATGGTGAATTTTATAATTGTTTACTACCACATAGGGTGCAAATAAATGCCTCTGTAATAGATGAATACTTTTATTCCTAAAATGTCAATTACTTTAAGTGATTTAGAAATATTAATGAATAGTTATGTCTAAGGAAGTAGTTTTAAAGATGAATGTTTGGTGTGTGAAAACACAAAGAAAAGCAGCTTAATTAGGAGGTGCTGACAAGAGCAAACAAGTCCAGCTGAAAGTGCAGCTCTTGGACTTGACAGGAATAAATCTGTTAAGTATGAGCAGATGTGACTCTCGAAAAGAGTAAGCATCCAAATAAGAGGCATTTAATCTTACAATAAAACAGGACTTGGAGCATTTGCAAACATTCATCTAATTATTTCAGTATGGACTAGGAGTATTTTAGGCTAGTTTGTGACTGTCCTTTGTGTCAGAATGCAAGTTATGCATACGAATGGCTTCCAACTGGACGGCTAATAGTAGCAGGTTAGAGCATGCCCTAAGATCAGTACTGAGGCTGTATGTCTTTGCATCTACACCTGGCTTGTGGAGTGTTTCTATATATGATAAACCTCATGACACTGGTTAAATTAATCAGTTTGGCTGATAGAATTTCCTGGTTGATATACCACAGCTCAGCTCCTCATTCTTATTCATTTCTTCCCTGGGTTCATTTCTTGTCTGAGCTCAGTCCTAAAATATCCTTTTCCTCTCAAACTTTCAGTAAGCCTCCTATTTCACTTATCCTTTAAATAAAAACTTCCTTCAATATTTCAGGAGTCCTACAGTGTTTCCACTGTCCTGTTAAACTTCAGGTGCTGAAGATGATTCTTTTTTTAGGGAAAATGTAAGCCTTTTCTCTCTGTCAGATTTTTTGAAGTTTTCCCCAGAGTGTCTAAGAAAAGTCTTCCAAATAGCTTCTGGCTTCTTACTCTTCTTTTTCAGCTCTGTACTCGGGGCACACAGAAGTTTCCTTCTCAAAGCTCAGATCTTTTTTTCCTCTCAGTATCAAGAAAACCTTCAGACAAATAGGGCTTCCTTTCCCTTGGCTCGCTATTTATTTGTCTGAAACACTCTTATTTGAAATATTCAAGTAGTGCACAGTGAAATGTATTTACTTGTTCATGTACTTCCAGGTAAAACTGGATTATCTCATGCCTTGCATTAACATTTGAGCTCTAAATGGTGATGCTCCCTATGTGCTCAGCTCTCTCTGTGGAGCTGCCTAATGTGCAGCCCCTTCTGAGAGTGCAGACCCTTCTGAGATCCTCCTTCACATATAGCATACCCTCTTCTGTCCTCAATTCAGACAGTATCCTAGGAAGCTGCATGTAGTGTGAATGTCAGCAATTCCACAGCATTTTGTTCAGACTGTGGGTCACGTATTGGTAAAAGTAATCTTTTAATTGCTGATCTGAACCCAGAGATTAGCACAGAGAAGAATTATACCAAGTGGTTAAACTTGGTATAACGACAGGAGCACTGGAACTGCCAGTTTCTAAAATACATAAGATTCACTATTATGTCAGTAGGTTTACTGAAAAGGGCATGCAATGACTTTTCACAGTAACACTTCAGTGCTGACTGCTGGGTGCATATGCATTGACTTACCCTTGTTTCAAATATCAGCAAGGTGGATGAGAATCAATGCATATGCTCAGATTATATATCTTCCACTGAAGAACAGATTCTTGCAGATGGGTACAGCTAAAAATGCTTGGTGGTAAATATTTAGTTTGTGAAAGACAATTTGTTCCATGAAGTTTAACTAGTCAACATTAGTCTTTTTATTTGTTAATCTTAAAGGATGCTCTTTAACAGGCTGGCACATAGAAAATCAAGGAGATGTAACTGGCATTACTTGAAAACCAAGTTGTTGCTTAGTTATCAGCCACCAAAGATTAAATTGAGGAACTTCAGGAACTTAAAAGGCATTAGTTTTGATGGAGTAGACCTTGTGCTTTTTTCTTTTATTTAGGATCAAAAAAACCAATGGCTACAGTGCACAGTCTCAGGAATTGTTTCTGAGAGTCCAGTAACCATTATCCGTGGTAAACACAGTGAGGGTGTGTGTTCTTATGGAAGTGCCTGCAGGAGAATCCAAGGTCAGGCAGCTCCTGAGGAAGAAGGAACTCCAGAGCTTGACCAGTTCACTAACTGCGCAGGGACTTGGAAGTTGTTTTTATGTACGCTTTTACCCCTGGGTGACCTGCCTCTGTGCTCTGAGAACTAATAACTTGAGTAGTATTTAACCTTCCTTCTCTGATTCTTCCTAACCTGCATTTGCTTCTACTTTTGTTCCTGGGTCTTTACTATCACATATTCTGTCACATATTACACCACACTTTTCACAGTGATTTTAAGGCATCCAAATTCATGGTACCTGGGTAGGCACAGCTTCACCTCACCGCTACAGTACCTCAGTATTGTACTGTGATCCCTATCATTGGTAAAGCCTCATATGCATTTTGTGTTCTGAAAATGGTGAAGAAAAAGTAATGATTTTGGTACTGAGGAAGGAGGATGAGGTTTCCGGAAGGAGAGGAAGACCCCAGAGTTTTCATACAACTATTCAGCATATTTTAGATTCTAAATTATAGCTGATAGTCAAATTACTTATTTGTATTCAATTTTGGTAAAATTGATCAGATACGGTAATATTTCTAAAATAATAAGCTAGTAAAGAATAGTCTTCAGGCATCAGATTTTATTTTTTGAGAAAGGAAAAGAAATTATTCAGTGCAGATACATCATGTAATATGGTAAAAAAAAAAAAACTAAATCACATTAACAGTGGAAGAGGAAAGCAAACCCAAAAAGAACATTTAATCTTTAAAACAAGGAAAGAACCCGTATTACTTTAATCCAGGGTTGTATTGCTTTCAGTTTGCTCTAGTGATGGATAAGGATGTGGTTATTTGTGACAAATATGTATTTCTTTTAATATAGAAACACAGAGAAGTGACAAGAAACCAAACAGGCATTCAGTCCACTGGGGAAGTTTCTTCTGGCTTTGAACCATGTTTAGTTCAGTACTGTACTCATTCCTGAATGAGATTTTGTTATTTGGTGCACAGATTATGATATCACCACAATAGGCATGACAAACGCTCCAATTTGAGCAGGAATCAGATCTGAATGTTAAGGATTCTTTCGCATGCATTGCCTCTGAATTTCTAATATCCTTACCCTGCTTATTATGAAAAATATATGAGACATAGGCATGTGCTTATTTTAATAAAGAGATGAAAGGAAAGAAGCAAAAGCATCCAGTTAAAATTCCACTGGGAAAAGACTCCTTCCTCGCACACATCCCCCCCCCCCACACACACACACCTACCCCTTTTCACCAGTGCAGAGTTCTTAATCGTTTTGGGGCTCTCCCTGGTACAAACTCTTCCTGGGGAATCTGACCAATGTTATGTTTTATCAGGTGCTCCTGAAAAGTGTTTAGAGTGCAGTCTCTGTAGGTTGGCTCAAGCAGGTGCAGTCAGAAAACCCTGAGCTCAGTGTGGGAAAGTTGAAAATGAAATATTGCTGGCAACAAAAATTTTCTCATGGGGAACCACAGGTGAAAAACGAAAAGTTGTTAATCTGCTCTCAAGTGCATCTAGCCCAGTCTTTTCTTCCACCAAAAGAATGGTGATCAGCTGTAAAGCTTAAAGCTTTCCAGAGAAATGAGAAGAGGAGGTAATGTAAAAAGAATGAAATTACCTTTCAAGCTTTGATTAAGATACTTGTGAGGGGTAATTTATGACATTAACAGGTTAAAAATTTCAAATTTGGTAAGGCATTCCTAAGCCTTATGATTAGTGATTGATGCCTTAAAATGTCCTTGGATTGGAAAATGTCCTTGGAACACACATCTGCTGTTTGTTCGAATATGTGTGTAAGATTTGGGCATACCCACCTTACTGAGACTTTCCATTAGAATTTTTGTTGTTTTTACATTAGTATATTTTGCAAAACTATCCATTGGCCTTAGTTAGAAGTAGAGCTCCTATTTTGAACCTCTGTTGTTTGTTCACTGTAATTTTAATTTATTTTTGACTTCTTCCATGTATATGATAGGTTGTCTTGAAACAATAGCTGTCTGTAACCAGTAGGTTCTACTGAACTTGGAAAATTTGAATGAGAATTTGAACAGTGAAACACAGAGTGGCTGGTGGTTTGGAGTGTCAGGCTATGGTTGTTATCACATGGGTTATAAGAACAAATTTTTGTTAACAAATTGCCATTAAAAATTTTTCAAAATTTCTTTAGGAGTAGTTTCATAAGCCTGCTTGTCCAGGGTAAAATTCAGCCCAGTCATCCAAACTCCTGTTTATCTTTTTGGGTAAATTCATATAGTATACACAAAATAATGCCTTTATATACCCACCTTGTAACTTCTATTTCCACATTTTAGTGAGAGATGCTGCTACTTGAATGCAAGATAATGCTAATAGTTAGAAAATTTTAACTGTAGTGTGTATTCAGTAATAAAGGTAAACTTATTTATTAACAAAAATAAGACTTTTATAATTTGAAGTAATCCATGTACTTCATGTAATCTGGCAGTAAATGATTGTGCACCCACAGGGCTACTTAAGTTCAAAATCAATTTGGTAATCTTCCAACTGGAAATTACAATAAATTAAGGTCATTTCTCCAAGGAATGACGTAAACACTTAAGTAATGGAGCTCCTCTCTTTATATTGAATCACGTAAGTAAAATTAGAGCCCGCTTAATTACATCTATTGTTGAATGTTTCGATTGGGCATTTAAATACCTGCAGTGAAGCTCACAATCACGTTTCTCCTTGCTAAGCTGGAAACGTTAAACCCCCCAAGCAATCATTGCAGGCATATCTGTTCTGTACAAAAGGTAGTAGCAGAAAGCAGGCTAAGAAAGCTTTAAGGAAAAAAAAAAAAAACAGGGCCTCACAGATTGTTTTTTTTTCCTTTTCATAATAACATATGTATTGCTTTCTTTTACATTTTTATACCAACCCATTCAAAAACCAATTATCAGTAGTTCATAGCGGCATGTAGTTTCAGCATTACTATTTCTGATGTTGTATTTTTTTAAAGCTGTAGGGCAAGCAGGCATTTTCCCTCCTTGTTCCTTCACATCCCCATGTAATTTTGGAAAATACACCATATCTTTCAAAGGAGAGACAGATAAGTATACAGTACTCTGTGGGACTGCAAAGCTAGATTGTCTTTAGGCCCTGTGAACTCCTAAAATGTTCGTATGTAAGCGCTGTCATTTTATACTGTGACTACATGGAAAAATTCCTTTGGTTACTTAGAATATGTTTCTTGGCACTTTTTATTAATTTCTTTTTTAATTAAACAGTGCACTTATATAATGATATAAACACAGGTTTTTGGAGGTAAATGTTTAAGCAGGTAGAGTGCGTTAATGCCCCTTCTATGCTCCAGTCCTGGCAGCCTGGCTCCCCCTTCTGGGACTCGCACTAGCTCTCTGATAAAGGTACTGCACTGAGAAAGGTGATCCAGCTTGAAGTCACTAGGTGTCTTCTAAGAGAATGAGACATGCGACTTTTGGACTTTGCTGATTAGTTTACCCCATTAGCCCAGGCAGTCGCCACTCCACCATCTCTCATTGTCTTTCCTTATTTAAGACAGTAAGACCAGAAAATGCTGGAGGGGGCTGGAGAGGCAGAGAGAAAAGAAAGGGCTGCAGTGAGCAGATCGGAATATGCAGATACAAAGGGAATTAATTCAGGCCATTAGATCTATAAGCAACAGACACCAAATTTTCAAACACCTGTGAATTTCAGGTTTATCATATTTAAACTTCTTGGCCTATTCAGATAAACTGATATGCAGTAAGTTGACTCAAGAAATGCAAAAGACTTCCTTCAGGTGAATTAGCTGAAGAAGCCTGTGCAAACCCTACTTGATGCTGACAAGCGAACCGTGGAGTCTGTGTTTTATCGAATTTTATTTAGTTCAAAAATGTATGGAAATGACAGGAGGAAATATATCAGACTTATACATATGGATGTGACAGTCATGCATGAACATTCTGGACATAAAAAAATACTTAATCATCTTACTCAGACAGTAGTGTCTTATGTTGTTCTCAAAGTACTTTAAATATAAGCAGACAGTATGAAAAAAGTAATAGCATCTAATTCTAATGGCTTTTAATTTAAGTTCATGAATATGCATCCAGGTGTCTTCTGCTTCTGGACAGAATATCAGTGATTTCTACTGTATGACCATATTCCTAGGTAATCAATTCAAGAAGCTATTATTCATAACATATGACTAAGCCAAGAACTCCTACATGGCTACATGGCTATTTTGTTATATGTAACATCTGATTTGATGTAGAAAAAAACCCTGAGGTTTCTGAACGGTCATTATGCTTTTGTAATACATTATAATTGGATGAATAACGTTGAAACTGTTCTCCTTTTTTATTTTGTGGAACAGTGGTGTTTGAGAGCTATTAAAAACAGATGAAGCTAGTTTTTCTTGCTTATTTTCACATGGCATTTTGTGTTTCATTATATATTTATAATTAGAGTTTGTGAGTATGTAAATGATACTAACAATGTGTGACAAAAGGTTCCTTTTTTTAAGTGACTTTCTCACTATAGTAAGTTTTAATACTGAGTTAATATAATTGTTTATACATTATTTTGCTCTGTACAATAATGAAAAAAAATGAGAAAAGATGCATCTTGACTTTGCTCGGCAGGTAAGACTTTAAAAAATATTTATGCTTCTACTCTGTGTCATTGCAGTGCATGAGGCGTGAGGTTTTCAGAAAATGGAGGAAAAAAGGTTAAATCCGTCCATTGTGCAAAGGTGATAAACACTTTTAAATTTACTTTATCCTTGCTTAAAGGCTTTGTGAAGCCAATCTTTATTTTATCTCAGTGGTGAGATATTTGCTTTGTTGAAATAAAAAATGATGTGCCATTAGCTTCACCAGAAGCCAAAATTTCACCCTTGTAATGCAGAGTTATGTAGGGGTTTCGTTTATTTGCTTAATAGGGAGATCTTATTGGAGAGAATGTATTAGAGAAGTTTTTCCAGGTCTTTACTCAAATAAATTTCACCTAGTCAGTATTAAACATTGTGATGTCATTCTTGGTTTTAGTAACTAAATTCTGCTTTTACAAGGTTTCAATGAAAATATTCAAATAACAGGAATTTAAAATTGCCGTGACTGTGTGTCAGAGTCCATTTTAAGTAAGGATGGACTCGCTGCTCTTTCCAGCTCCAGCCTAACTTTCCTTACCAGGCAGTCAACCTGCCCAGGCAATGTTATTGTTCTCTGTCAAGATCTTCTAGATTGTCGTTGGTAGATCTTTCTGTGAAACAGTCTAGAGACTGCAACCCTTTTTTTTTAAGGTCGCGTGCAAATAAATTACTAACTGAGGTTGTTTGTACAAAATACCTTCACAGCCTTCTTGCTTTCTTCTACTGTTCTCTCTAGAATATTTCCACCTTCTCATGGATCCCTGCCTTTTCTCTTATCACGTGATTTTTATGTCAGAGGTGCTGGTTGGCATGAGTCTCAGCAGTATCCCTGGCCTGGCACTTGAGTAAAAATGCAAACAAACCCCAAAATGGATATGTAAAATAAAGTTTGGTTTTAGGTTCACATAAGTTAGTAACACCTTTTAATTGAAAACTGTATGTTCTTCTTCTTTAAAATTAAAGAAGAAGAGGTTATGGTTTTGGTTCACATGCAGCCAAACCAAGCAACAGTCTCTTCTGTTAGGCTAATTTGGTTAGCCTGAAGGCAAATAGGGTTAGACTGTTGGCTTCTTAATAGTGACTAATGCTTTACTGTGAGAGGAGTCCCTTTGCTAGCCAGAGATTAAGACATTCATGAACATAAGGAGATGCTTTATAACATGGCCAGTAATTAAGGCCTGATTCATCTCACTTTGATCTTAGTGAGGGTTGGAAAGGCGTCTCTACTGATTATATGGATTTTGTGCAAGTGCTGGAGTATAAACAAATTATTGAAAAGAGTATTTGCTTATTACGTATGGGTTGGCTGGGATCCAGTAGCACCTGCCTAAATTGTAGGTTTAACTTCAAAATTGCAGATCTATCAGATCATTTAAAAATTCTACCCATAAACTAAAGGAAAGGTTAGAATGTTTATTCTGCTTTTTCAATACACTATGAGATTGTTCCTGCCAGAAGCAGCTTGTCCCGTAGGCTCCAGTGGATAGTTCCCCTTTAGAGGGACAGATTTTTCAATTTGAAGAGTATACGAGGAAAAGCAGGTGACGGAAACCCTAGGGGAAGATCTCCGAAAGGTTTTTATACTCCCACGTACGTTGGATGTCATAGAGTGTAAAATGGACGCCTCACTTTAAATATCTGTTAGTATTTCTACTACAACAGCACTTATAGAGCTCATTCTGACGGGCCTTCCTGGTAGGCAATTCACCCTGTAGTACAATACAGTCCTACTGCCAAGAACTTATGATCTTAAGTCCCATTCTTGCAACAGATCCCAGTGGCCGTATGGAGCCCAGAAAAGCCTAAAGAAAAGGCCCTAATATCCACATTTATGGATGTTTGAGTGTAAGATTGTGACCTGATTTAAAGTAGATGCAACAAGCAGCTGTAGCAGCAGTAAGGAAGAAAACTTTCAAGCTCCTTTTGTTGGTTTATAAGAAGGATCCATTCAGCAGTGTCTAGCGTGCCAGCTAGCACACTACAGTTGGAGTACTTTAAGCAATTCCATTATAAACGCTGCTATTGAGAAATTTATAAGTCTGCTATAAAACTTCACTGAAGGCTGATCAGTGCCAAAGAACATTTCTTTTCCACTTAAAAATAACATGTCGCTGCCGTTTATAAATGATAGGGTTGTGAAAGTGGAGAGAGAGAGATTTTCAATGGCATAAATTGGGACTGGACAGCCATTCTCTGCGTCTTGGAATATCTGTCATTAACAGCTAAACAGGAAAGGTGAGGAAGAAGACTTTTACACAAGGTATGTATAGCAAAGCCTAAATTTAATGAGTAGGAGGAAGAAAGAATGAAAATTTGCCCGTTTTAGATTGTTTTCCCCCAAGAGGCTGTTTTTTCCAACTCTGTCTTTTAAAATTGTAATTAACTTTTGGCTTATGTTCTTTTGGTGGTAGAAACTTTAAGAGGACAAGTTGCTAGTGTTTGAAAATTATCTTCTATAACTGCTTCTTCAGAGAATTGTATACCTGCCCATATTGTCATTTTAACAGCTTCCCGCTGTGAAAAATTGTAATGACCATCTGCCCATGATCACCTGTCAGCTATAAGATATTGCAGTATACATTTTGAAATTGGACAAATTAATCTTTGTATTATACACTTTGCCACTGTCTTTTTTTAACATACCTCTGTAATATTTCTTCTTCTAAATTCAGCTTCCTTCTAATTAATGAAATTGAATAAGAAAACTAAGACAAAGGAAATTAAATTCCAGGTTGCCAAAGGACAAAGTATCTGAATAATATACAGAAAAGGTATGACAAATCAGGGCTCCAATTGCACTGCTGTACTTCAAGGATTTACAAATGTTACAAGATATAACATCCCTAATTTTTCTCAAAGGAACACCCTTTTTGTAGCAGATTTTGTTCTTTTGAGGTGCACTGTTTATTTTCTAACATGGATAAATGAATCTAAATAGAGAATTAGATGTACACTAATATATCTGTTCTTTGAAATAAAAAAAGAGAGAGACCGTCAAAGTGATCAAGCTCAATCACAGCGCTTTCCAATGTACACTGGAGAGAAAGGGGTTGTTCATGTGATGTACTGCAAAAAGTATATGGTACTTGCCACTCTGTCCCACAGAACAAAAGCTTTCCAGGAGGAGATAGCAGAGTGGTGTTGCAAAAAGCCATTGTATTTATCTCAATGCTGAGAGAGATACTGTGTTTCTGAAACGTAGCATCATTCCTAGAGTTATCCCTAAGAAATGTAGTGTAGACAAGACCAGAAGTTATACAGCCTGTCGCAACGTGAGATCATCTCTTTTATGGAAAGGAAAAAAATTTATGAATGTTCTTATTATATATTTAGCATTTGTTCTGAGTGAGAAGAGTCCCATTTATGTCGGTGTACATTTACATAGCACTGGCTAAGTGAAATAGTAAAAAAGAGTGAGCTAGAATAACATCTCTTCTTTCCCTGGTAGTCCTAGAATCTACATGAAAGGCAAAACAGCAGCAGTTCAGGTGTGTATAGAAATAACCCCCTTTTCATCTTTTCTATGTCTGTTTTGCTAACAGCCAAAAAGCAAGCAAGACTAACATAGCTCTTGGGATCTTTATGTTGATGTAACCTTCAGTTTAATAGAAGTTATAAATATTGCACAGGGAGCAAATTACTTTGGATTTATCTCAAAGTAGCTAAGATCAGAATCTGACCTACTGTTCTTAGCAGTGGGAACTGCAGCCATGTTACTGAGCAAAACTGAGCCATGGATGAGACCAGGCCCCTGTAGGATATTATCAGTCTTAGATGTGAAAGAAAGACGGAGGTGAATCAGTGAGGTGGAGTAGTCCTCTGTGCCACAAAAAGGTGTATATTTTTTAAGAACACTCGTCTTCACCTGTTAGGTGTTACTGCATTACTCTTCCTTCTGTGTGAAAGGACGCTGAAGAGGTAAAATATCTTATTAGGATCAGAAATAATGAGGTGGAGGTAACTGAAATTTTAGCCTTTTTCTTTTTTGAAAAAAGAAAAAAAAGTTTTTAATGGCTGGATGCAGGAATTCTTTTTCATTTGATTTCATATTGCTATCTTTCCTCATCACCCAAAATAATTTCATAAGCATGCTTAAGTAAAACAACAAGGAGAGGTTTTTATTAAAAATTAGTTCATCAGGGAACTAATCAAAGCACTAATGACTGTGCTTTCTGTCTTCCTTTAGCATCTGTGACACTTCACCCCGTACTTTGTCCTGAGATTCGTGTTGGATATTGGAAAGTGTTTCACAGCCTGCAGTATGTAACAGTATATGGAAGAGCTGTTCTGTGGATTCTTCTTGATTAGACATCCAGGATGGCTGCCGGTGACTGCAAGGAACTACATGCAGTGATCTATATGCTCCATTTCAGTGCTTATTTCTATAAGTATGTGTATACTTTTTTCTTTTAGTATGTAAAGCAAGTCATTATTAATGCTATATATTTGCTGGGTGAAGTTTCTCCTTTCAGTCAATAAGACTCTTTAATTTCTAGTAAGGTGCAATTGGTTCTCATCGAGCTACATAACAAAAATCTCCCTTACGAATACCTCTCCTCCTCTCAGAACAAATTTGCCGTGTGCTTTTGTAGCACGTTCTCAACATAAACACAAAAAGGGAATGTTAGCTCCATACGTCAGCAAAAGGAAAAGTTAATTTTCAGAGAAATGGGATTCTGACCATTACTCTAAAACAAACAAGTTAAAAATAATGCTTCTAAAGACTATACAGTTTCTAACTCCGTGATCTTTTCTCTGGTGCTTCCTGCCGTGCATGGCAGAGTTTCAAAAGAGTGCCTGTGATGGAAGATCAGCTAGGAAGAAGAAATAAATGCAGCCACATTGCTAGTAAAGTGAGGACAGTAATCCAAGTCCCAGTGATACAACTGTAGCACAGAATTGTTCTGCAAATTACCTCCAGTGTCCTAGGTCCATAGAATTTGTAGGAACAGACTAATCTCTGCTCAGTGGGTACAGAGCATCTATCTTCTCCCTCTAAAAGTCTTCTCAGACAATGAAAGGGAAAATCCCATAGAGCCATCTCTTCAGAGAAGATACAAATGATGTCTGGATGAGTAAAATTTCTCAAAACATCTTTTAGTTCTAGTTAAACCATTAGCCAAATCAAACTCAGAATTAAAGACAGCCTTGTGCCTCAAGTTGCTGTTATTCCATCTCTTGGCCTTTGACTCAGAAATCCTGAGCAGTTTTAGAAAGGAGGAAAGGACACATTGCAAATGTGAGGTAAGGTAATAGTTTTACCTGATCTATCATTGTGTCATTATTTCCCTATATCCAGATAGATATTGCTATGCTCACGTAAGGAATAAAAGAGAAATTATATCGTTGGATTTTATTATAGAGGTGGCTTATTATTTTATATGCATACATATATAAATATATGTACATATGTATGCATTTATATATATATATATATATACACACACACACACACACCTGTATACAGTGTTGTATACTTTTATATTATGTGTAATGTTGTTTTGTTGTGACATGGAAAACCTACTTTTCGTGTTAGTGCAAGATGGCTGGATATTTTTCCCCATATATGACATGACACTGAAATATGAGGTGTATGGTTTTGCAGGAGAATAACAGTTTTAACTATATTACATGTTTAAAATCCCAACTGAACATAATATAACTTTACTAGCTCATTTCTCCTGAGGCATCAACACCATTTATCACTACTGCTGCCATCTGGCATTTCTGAACTATCATGATCAGCATTTTATGTGGAAATGAAAGCATTCAATATGGTTTCTCTTCTCTAATGCTCTGAGGTCAGATACAGTATTGCTAGAGGCAGTGAAGATGCTTTTTTATCACACACTTGAGAGACATCCATTTGACATATTTTATAGTTTTCTAGGTTAAGACCAGCCAAGCTTTTCCTTATTTGCACTGACCTGACTTGGGGTCATTTGCTGTAATAACAATCTAAGATTCATACAGATGAGTTTTGTTATACTGTAGTGTTCAAAAGGCCACATACAGCCAGATACTTTGGGGCTGAAAACCACTTTCTAGTACCTTTTTTTTTGCTGCATAGCATTAGAGCTTAGAACGGCTATGGAATCATTCGCACAAGTGGTTTCTCCCCCCAAAAAATCAGAATATGGTTTGCCTTGCTTAGGTCTTTGTGAAGAGGTGTTAGTTGCTCTCGTTTTTTCACAGAGGGGTTCATGGAATGTGGTCTGATGACTTAGTTAAGAGTATCTTGTAGTTTAGGTTTAAAACTTAAATTCCAGTGTGTAAAAATGTATGGCCATTCCTTTTTACACCACAAATTCATGAGTCACTGTCAGTTTCCAAGCCTCAGTAATCCATCATGTGCGAAGCAGTAGTACCACTAGTGTCTTTTAACATCAGCTCCTTCACGGCCGTTTGCAATTGCTCTAAGATAGAGGAGGCCTATATTTATTTAATATATTCCTCTATATATTTTAAAATATATTTATTCTATAATAAAATATTGAGTTGGTAACTCCCTGTAGATCACTCCATGCTGTTTAATTGCTTTAGAATTCATGCTGGTATATGCTCATATAATTTCAAACCTCAATTTTCAGTGTGATACTAAAATAAACATATTGTTTTACTGATGATATACGGGTCTTGAAAAGTATAAGTAAGTTTAGTATAGCCAGGATGCTGTGGGTACATGGGAGGTTTCGGGACATGTCTGAAAATTTGTTCTGAACAATGCCTCTTATTGGCCAATAGCGGCTGAGTGACATTGCTCTTTTTGTATGGCTGGGTAATACTATTTTCAGGCAAAGTATCTTTCAAAAATTAAGTCATTCACTAAGATAGAGAACCGGCACTTTGTTGAAAACCCTGCAAGTCAGTCATGGGAGAACAAGTTCTCTCTGTAGAGTATTAGAGTAGTGCTTTTTTGCCATACGCAATACTCATTATCACTCACAGTGGTTACAAACACACAAAAAATGATTCTCCATGTGTGCTGATTATCAGTAATTCTACTGCCTACTAAGGGGCAGACAGAGGGTCAAATTCTTGTACAGTAGCTAATGTTTTACTCTGCCATTGATCCCATTGATTAGTGCAAAAAAGCTGCAGAGTGTGATAATAGACTACGCCAGTAAGACTAAAATCTTCCTCCGCATGATCTATTCTAAAACCATAATCTAGCAATAGATTCAGAAGGCTAAGAATTACTTGATAGAAAATGTAACTTAAAAAAATACATGCACCCTATTATTTGTTATTACATTTGTAAATTCCATGTGCTAGATAGATAGATTTTGTCGTTTTGAACAACAGCCGTTCGGTTTTTGTGGCAAGATGTTTGTTCAGATGTTTCCCAAATGAGAACCATCCGCAGTTCTCCGCAATTGATAGCGTAATTACAACTAAACAGTGTCTACCATTTGTACTTTTACAATGAGCATTTAAAAATAAACTTACTAAAAATAAAATGAAAAGCCATGCTTAAAACGTTGGAGATAAATAGAAACTGAATGTTCATTCTGTCTTGTCTACCATACTTAGAAGACATGGAATTAATACTAGCCCCTTCTTAAAATATAGTGATGTGACACTACCCAAGAGTTCTCATAGTGCTAGTGCTTTTTTATAGCCATATTTCAGGGTAGACCTTCAATTTGGAAACCAGTGAACATTCCAGCAGATATTTCATTATGACAAGAGCCTACATATAATAAAAACTAGGAAGAATTCCTAAGTAACTTTCCTAAATTCAAAACATAATTTCTAATTCTCAAATGCATTGAAAGCCTTGGGGAGAAGACTGCATAGAAAACTGGTGTTTTCCTTTGATATCAAATACAGCAAGAGGAAGGCTCAAAAGATAAAAGAAAACCAATGTAAGCAATCTAGTGCAATTAACAAAGGTAGTACCTCAGTTTTCAAATATCTGAGCTTGATATCTTTCCAATGGTGTCTGGGTGAATTGAATGATGTCTCTAATGTACAGAAAATAGCTCTGCACAGCAGTGGCAATATATTATTTTTTCTTATTATTAGTTTGTACCCAACTTTCTGCAGTCCTAATCCTGAAAATGCAAACTATTTCTTTTCCCCTTTCTTTGCTTCTCTGGTGTTGTGAATATTGTGAATACATTTTTTAAGCTTTAAACTGCCAAAATCCCTTATTTGGACTTGTAGTTGTCTATCTGCTTCCATACGACAGCTCAAAAATTTGAAATTCACTGTCCACTAAAATAATCAGGATTGAACAGCCCAGAATTGAATGAAAGAATCATATGTAAGATGTCACAGATATCATTAGGGTGCTGGGAGATGGAAATCCTCGGGGAGAAAACGTGAATAACTCATGTGGTCACCCTAATCGCTCAGATTTCTCTTTTTCCCTCATTTGTACGGTGTCACGTAGCCTTGATCTCAAGCAGATAAACTGAGGAAGACCTACTGAAAGTGATTAGCACCAGTGCCAAAACCAACTTCTGCTTTGCTGGAGTAATAGGTCAGGAAAACTGTAAACTTAATATTCAGGCATAAGGCAAGTTATGTGAATTTATCCATGCTGTAATGATAGTAGAAAGGCTCTATCTATCTTCAGCAGTTTTGGCTCATTCAGAAACTCAATAAACATCTACAAAATGAGAGTCTACTTACACATCATTTATAAAAGACTTCCAAAAACTGAAATACAGTGAATACATTATTTCTGATTTCTCACTAAGCTGATTCTGATGATTACATAGTTATTGTTGGTCCTTTTGCTGTCTTTCTAGTTATAGTCCTTGGTATGAACGTTGTAGGTTAATAACGCTTCCAAGTCATTAATTTTGCTTTTAAAATGGTGACTTTTTCTATATTTTAAGATTAATTTTAAATAAATGTTATTTTAAAAGAATAAGGAAAGATATTCAAAGAAAATAGATCAAGTATTCATTTAAAATTAGGTCAGTATAATTAGCATTCTTTGATAGCTGAGGACTAAATTTGGGTAATCATTGACTGGGTCATGAAGACAAAGTACTAAAATTGTTCACTTGACTCAATAGTCCTCATTGAGAATGAGACTGTTCTGCTAGTGCTGTCTTAATATTGTCTCTGTCTTGGGATTTCATTTAGAAACATACACATCCATGTAGTTCTGTTATATAATATAGCGTTGGATGAAAGCTAATGTCTGCTTTGAGGAAGCATCTTGTGCTTATACTATAAATTAAATAGCTGAAAAAATCATCAAATTCTCTCTAGAATTTGGAGCATTTTTTCTCAAATAATTACATTTTGCTCTCAAATGATGTTTTCCTGACAAATCCTCCCTCATTCATAGAGTAAGCGAAGCATATAACTGGCCTCATGAAATAAAAATCAAACTTTCTTTATATTCTTCATTCATTTCTGTTTGTGATTTTCAGAGATAATACAGATATCTTGCCAAGCAATTCTTTGTTAGTAGATATCAGCTAATGAGGGAAGAAACATCTAAGGGGGACATACTACAATAACTGTTTTGCCACTCTCTAATTCCGGTAAGTAAAAAATCATGTTCAGGTTCCTGATATAATGTAATAAATAATTTCTGGGAAAGCACTTATTTTTATAATGGTCTTCATACTGGTTATTTGTGTCTTTAAATCAGATTGTGAGGTCTCTTGCTTTTATGTTTTGCCTGAATTGCTCTAGAAAAGTCATTTTTATTACTGTTCTAGCAGATTTTACTGTAGCTGAAGAGCATAAAACCTGCATTCCCTTCTCTCACTTGTGCTTTTAATATACCACTCTATTCTATTTATTGAATCAAATTATGGGGTATGTCCTATACAGGGATTTTCAAAATGTTGTCTATAGACTTCTTCTATGAATGCTGTGAAAAAATAATTCAGGCAAGCCAGCCCATTGTCATTAGGTCGATAGGCATTATTCAGGAGTCTGCAACTTCACGGAATATACCAGAGATCTTCTGTTTGAAAAATCACAACTTTTCTATGAAGTATTAATTGTGTAAAAATGAAGTGTCCACTACAAACTAGAACTAAGGCAAACAATTCTGTGGGAGACCTAAGACCAGTTTTCTGAGTAAGATGTACATCTTAGTAGATACATTTGTGTCTACTTCAGACAGAAAGAGGAAATGGAATAAAATGTCATTTAGATAAAAAAACAGGTTTCCCAGTTAGATTTTAACAACTGTCCCAGACAGTAACACAAGTAGCACTTTGGAAAGTAACACTGAAGGGTGCAACATCACAGTAAGTGAAAAGTTAGATGATCAGTTCCGCTATGGAAATCACAGCTGACCAGAACCTAGGCAGAGTTCAAAGAGATCATAAGAATACTTCTGTTGAAATTACTAGCTTCAAGAGCAATTCCCAAATCATCTACCCTATCTAGAATAAAGCAATCAGCAGAAAAGAAGATGAATTCCCTGCTATTGAAACCTTTGCAACAAGCAGTCTGATTCCCTACCAAACAGTCTCTTAGCAGCTGACAGACTACCTGTTCCGCAGAGCTCATGTCACCACAAACTGCAGAACCATTAGAAACACAGAAGGCTGCAGATGTCAGTAACTGCTTCAAGGCAAAGACAACATTAAGTTTAAGCAAGGATACAGAAGACTTTTAATGCTTTTCTGGAAGAAATTGAGGAGCAGCCACTGAGAGTACTGAAAACTGAACTACTTTCCATCTACCTACTTTTGTCATCTGCTGTAATATTACTAGTCAGTATGTCTTGTAAAGGATTGTGTCTTTATTTCTTTTACATACATAGATGCATTAGAAAGATTTCACTTAAAGACAACCCTTTTGTTAGCCTGTAGCGAATGCCAGTTTAGGGCCTGAGCTGAACAAGCCCCAGCCCCAGATTTCCATGCTGATCTGCCAGCAAAGTTTGCTGCCTTTCATGGGCATACCAAATATATGTGTTTCTGTGTGTGTGTGTGTGTGTGTGTATTTATATGTCTTCACCATCCTGGAATATCTTTTTAGTGAGACCACTCTCAGAATGAGAAAGCTGTAAGCTTCATTCATAAAGGCTCTTGGTTTTTGGCATGTGAGTGATTTTCTAAGTTTCTAAGCTAACACTGAAATCTGACTTGAGCATCTTCAGGATTTTGAGCAGAAGAGGAACCTATCTCTGCACAAGTTAGCCGCTGGCTACCTATAAGCAGGAGGATGGAAACCATCCCATCCCCAAGCTATGAGCTCTTTGGCGCAGGTGCATGCTGCAGCTGTGTCCCGCTCCTCCTTGTGGTGGCACATGAGCAACTCCATCTCTGCCTAATCGTATTCTGCTTGCTGTGAGAAAGCGGTCTAAAAGTGTGACCCATTATCCATGGGGAAACCTACAGGACTAGTAGCGCGGAACAAGCCACTGCACGTACTGCGTATACAGTCTAGATAGTCCTGATGGTGCCTAAGGTTGATCCTTTCCTCTGTATTCAACTTCCAGGTAGTTTAGGTACCAAATCACTAAGGCTGAAATTCTCCACGTATGTTTTAAGGGGGGCTGCTCACTTAGGCTAGGATCAAAAGCTCTATTAGGAAGACTTCAATCTGCCAGTTAAAGGTTAGAGATGCCTTTGAAAAATCTTATATGTTAACCTGGAGCTTAGTGTTGTGCTCAGTCATACACAGGTACCTTGTATAACGATGAGGGGAATTAGAAGGTAAAAGTCATGATGCATTGAAATCTGTTATGAAACACAAATTCAGCTACCTTAGTTGTCTAAGATGGACATTTAGTTTACTATTGTAAAGTGGATAATTTCAGAACTGGGGACAAGCTAAAAAGACCTTTAGTGTTGTTAAAATTCCTGTTAATAGAAATTACTTCTGATATGTCAGAATAATAATACTAAATACAAAGATATTTATATTACGACAACTATCTTAATACTGAATAGCTGAATTGTTTTTAAGATTTCTTTCTTAATTCATTACCTAGCCACTAATACTTCCAGATAGCTTTTCTTATTCTCTGAAAACATATATTTCAATATTCATTGAAGGAATTAAAATTAGCACAAATTTGGAGAATTAAACATGACTGACTGTAGGATAGCAAGGAGTCCTGGGGAATGATTCTTCTCAGTTTTGCAAAACACTGTTGGAAGCCTGTGGGAAATAACTAATCACCCAGGTTTTTTTTTTTCTAGCTTCAAATATCCTTTCATCCTCTTCCCAGAGAGAAATGTACTTTATATGTTCTCTAAAGGGATGAAGAAATAACTTGATTTGTTTATGTTTGTTTTTTGAAATCTCAGACTTTGAATCCTTTGAGCAATCAAAACGAAAATGGAAACTCCAAAATTCAGAACTCATGAATTATTACTGTCCCAAACAAAAACGGGGATCTGTGTGATAGCCAGTGCACTGACAAGGTCCTGAAAGGCTCTATATAGCCAGATCAAGTGCAGCCATTCATTGTACTGGAAAGAAAAAAAAAAAACACAGTTCATCACCAAAATTTGGTTTGATTTTTTAGATATCAGGATTCAGGTAATACTATGTACCAAGCTATTTCTCATCAAAAGAATTGTTAGAGTTTATGCATTGATTTGTAATTTTTTTAAGATGGTTTCAGAGTGATATAGATGCAAGATTTTTGTAGCTGGGAATGATGGTTTGATGCTTTAATCTCCCTGGTGACTTTGAAAGTTTTACTTGGTCTGTCTTCAAACATACTTATTAAATACTCTTTGTGTGTGTGTGTGTGTGTGTGTGTGTGTGTGTGTGTAAAGTTACAAATAAGTAATATCATGGAGAAAACTACGAAAACTACCTTGAAAGAACACATATATCTGAGCGAAAAGTAAGTGTCAGTATCATAGAATGTTTATGTTTAAGTTGAGTCTAGTATGCTACCTTCCTAACACTCAAGATGTTAGACAGTTTGATTTATGACCATTTCTATAATTCCCCTGCAGTTTTATCATGACAAAATTAAATACCTAGGTAGAACTAAAATGTCAGATGATGACTAGTGTGTTATTACACCTTCTCATTATGTGGTAATGGCAAGAGTGTATAAAATCTACCATTTAAGGAGTCAGTACAAATTACACCAGGAGTTGACTTGGGTCCTTGTTATTCTTGGATTTATGATTACACATGTCATGTTAAAGATTTTTTATTAAGTCAAATTTTAAATACCTGTCAAAAGGGATGCTTTTCTGCAAAGCAGCCACAAAAGCTTATTTTTCATTACTTTATGGTGGTCCAGCTGACACCAGTTTATTGCAGAAACCTTACATCACAAGTGGGCTGAGACAAGCTGAACAAACCCCTCAAAATTCAAGATGTGACATTCACTTTCCGTGTGTGCATGATCATTTGTAAAACCCTGAATGAATCCATTATGTCATCTATGTTCAATGAGCCTAGAGAAAACAGAAACGTTAGCTTCACTGAACTGTCAAAAAGCAGACATATTTGCAAGTGTTGAGTTGGAAGCACAGAAGGGAATGTTCGGCACAGAATCATCAGCTCTGCCTAACTGAGCCACGCTTGAAATGTAGGCCAAACAGGTCTCAGGCATCACAGGACATATGTCACAGCATGTTAACAACTCAACTTTTTCTGGGTTTTTATCAAGTTTCAGATCACTGTACGGAGGAGAGGTGTTATGGGAGAAGAACTGTCTGAATTCAGCGGAAGTGGATCTGGGCCTGTTGTATCACTTTGAAAAGCATTTGTCTCAATTACTGGCAGTGTCTTGAAAAGAAAATACAATTTTTTATTCCAATTTTTGAAAAGATCCTGCAGCGTCCAATACACAGTATTATCAAAGTTTCAGGAGCCAGTCATTGCGTACTTACATCCCAAGATCTTTTCCCTGGGCTTCTGCTCACTGACTATGAAGCTAATAGCTTATGAAAAGAGTGAGATGGCCAATTCACTTTTAAAAGAAGTTTTGAAATGGCTGTGCAGCTGAAGCATGACATACTCTGAACAATTCCTTTGTAATTGTCTGTTTTTTCTATCAGACTATGCTACATCTGCTTCATAATGCTTGGTCCCTCTTTATTTGGAAAAACAGACAGAAACACAAAAAGGACAAGTAGAGATGAAAGGTTCTTTTTAATTAATGCACTGGGACCAATATGTGGTCTGTTCTCATACCAAGGTACTAAAACTCTCCCACTTACTTAAAATATCATGATATCATGAAATATCATTTATTGGGAAAGGCTTTGACCTAATACAGGATAAATATTTGGGGGACTTGAACGTAGATTGTACTTCAGTGGTCTTCCCCGCAAAATGGGGTTATTACTTCTTTCTTTCTTCCATTCTTTGTTTGCCTTGTGTAGAAATACAAATACAAATTGTATATAGATACAGACAGAGATTATATGTTTGAAGCTTTTGAGTTTAGACACCTGAACTGGAACTTACTCACACAAATGACCTCATTTTAAGAAATGTGAAATCCTTTGTTTTCAGAGGGGAATTGGGGTCTGCAGCACAGAAAACGTTGCAAAAGAAACCTCCAAAAGAACGTGAGTCTCTGTGTGAATATAGAAAA